TTTCCAAATAACTAGCATGACGTTTCTGAAGATTTTCGAATATTAGTCAGATTGGAAGTTCGTTTTAAGAATTCTGTCAAACTTTCTAAAATTTATTTGGAAGGTTTGCCCAGCAACAATGTACATTCATTTTCTCCTATCTCATATGTCAAAAATAGGTTTGTAATAAGTACTACCACAAGTAGAGTATACGGTTGAGAAGTTTGTTTTATCTGTCACATTTCATGGCAGTGATGCTTCTCCCAATATTGGTTGTAGTCTATTTGTGTGACGAATGAATCTTCTTTCGTCTAATCAATATCATATACGCAAAATGTGTTTAATGATAAAGAGGTAAAGATGTTTCACAATCTGTAAACAAATGAGCTGGAGTGGTTTTATGATGATCAATTTTGTTTAGAAGTTCAGGAACTTCAGTTTGTCACATGTTTCTAGATAGAAAGGTTTTCTCAATCAGAAAAATGTAACCTTTAAAAGTATTTACTACAGTTAGACATAAAATACATGGATTTGATCAATAAATGGTTTAGAAACGTTTAAGCTGTTCAAGTTGAATGTTCCACGTTTGTTGTTTCAAAATTCATCCTGCATCATTTAACATGTTTCTAATGGGAATAGTGATACAAGAATTCAACCAGATGAACTATTTGTCGAATATCGATTCGATAATGAACCCTTTATTCAGAAAGTTATCTGTAGTATTTGTATGACATACTGATTCTTTTTCACTTGACTTCTCGCTGAATACGAATTCTAACTATTATACGCTCATTTGTGCTGATCTAATTCTGCCTGCCTTAAATAGCACTATTTCGGGTGTTATTAGTTAGTACGCGAATTGCAATGTTCCCAATGATCATATTGACATCACGATGGATTCAAATTTTGGATAGTTAAGGTTATTCCCTGTTTGTTTTCTTTCCAGTTGTTTTCGTTTAAGTTTCTTCTTCTTCTTCCACTAGATCCTGTAAAACTTGGAACCTGTTGTAGAAAGTTATCATGAATTCCTTGAGTTGTTTTGTATCTCGAAGTAGGGCTGTATTGAACCATTTTAATGCCGTTCCTCCAGTTGTCCAGTGTTTCTTTAGCTCCAGTTTCATCTTGGCAACAACCATCGTTGATTTTTCTGATGACCATCCTGATTTCTTCGAAGGTTGGTGGAGTGACTGACATAGGAATATCTGTTTGTGCTGCTTCGGCTTTCATCATGAATGGTCATAATTCTTCCTTGAACTCCCTGGGCAGAGTTAGAATGGTTCGAATTGTTTTTTTCTGGTTAGCGATATTTTAGCGAGTTACTTTTCTACGGGATGTGGTTAACGACCGTATTCGCAACCCTCCTCTTTTATCCGGGCTTGGGACCGGCAGTATCTCTGGAGGAGCTACAAGCGGTTTTATGACCAGTAATACACGAAATAAAATTTTCAATAGGTTTATTTATAGCTCCGTGATCTAATGACCTATCTTCTCAACTGAAATGATGGATTGATACTATCAGTGTCAATAATTAAATCATGAAAAGCTTCACTGGACAAATATAATAGTTTTTGAATATGAAGTGAACAGCTGGCAGTAGTAAAGAAAGATAGCATATGACTATAAGAATCATCTAAGTTAATTGGATCCGCAAAACAAAGTTCAGTATTACTTGCAGTGAACAGAACAGTAGTTTTATGAACCGACTAGATGTGTCTCATTTCAGCACACTTAAACCATATAGCATGACGAAAGTCACATGAATTACGTAAATGAAATTTACCATAGGATGAATCTCTATCGAACATTTTCTGACATCTGTAGACTGCTTTGAAATTCATTTTTGAATTATTTCTCACATTTCAACGAGAATAGGATACATTATTAAACAATCGCGAGCATCAGCAACCCTGAGAGTGTAGTTTATCACGACGAATAAGAAAAGCGTTCAAAATCTTCACTGAATGAAAATGAAACTCATTATTTGACTGACAGTTCATACGTACTGTTTTAATTTCTTGGTATCATCTTATGGGATCTTAAATTAATTCTCTTTCTAAATTCGGAATATTCAGCCCAGTAATCAACAGATCACAAAATTCAGTTTCCAATCAGTCTTCAAAATTGCACTTTGCGGCCTGTTTTTGTAGTTCAAGTATAAGGGCTCTAACTTTCTGGTCATTTTATCGCATCGTTTTACGGAACTTCGATATTTCTCTTCATTCGAAGCTAGCTCACTGGACATGACTAAGTAGTAAGTTCTTGGAAGATTCATATGACAACAAAATTGGTCTCTCTGGAAAATCCACGTGATTTAGCAGGTTATAAGCATATTTGCCGATGAAAGTCAAGAAATAAGCTGTGAAATTATCATCTGTAATGTCTTTTCTAGTCAGGTATCAGACTTCTAAGTTATTCCCACACTGGAAATAACATCCAAATATTCTAGGTTTGAATCCATCGTGATGTCAATATGATCATTGGGAACATTGCAATTCGCGTACTAACTAATAACACCCGAAATAGTGCTATTTAAGGCAGGCAGAATTAGATCAGCACAAATGAGCGTATAATAGTTAGAATTCGTATTCAGCGAGAAGTCAAGTGAAAAAGAATCAGTATGTCATACAAATACTACAGATAACTTTCTGAATAAAGGGTTCATTATCGAATCGATATTCGACAAATAGTTCATCTGGTTGAATTCTTGTATCACTATTCCCATTAGAAACATGTTAAATGATGCAGGATGAATTTTGAAACAACAAACGTGGAACATTCAACTTGAACAGCTTAAACGTTTCTAAACCATTTATTGATCAAATCCATGTATTTTATGTCTAACTGTAGTAAATACTTTTAAAGGTTACATTTTTCTGATTGAGAAAACCTTTCTATCTAGAAACATGTGACAAACTGAAGTTCCTGAACTTCTAAACAAAATTGATCATCATAAAACCACTCCAGCTCATTTGTTTACAGATTGTGAAACATCTTTACCTCTTTATCATTAAACACATTTTGCGTATATGATATTGATTAGACGAAAGAAGATTCATTCGTCACACAAATAGACTACAACCAATATTGGGAGAAGCATCACTGCCATGAAATGTGACAGATAAAACAAACTTCTCAACCGTATACTCTACTTGTGGTAGTACTTATTACAAACCTATTTTTGACATATGAGATAGGAGAAAATGAATGTACATTGTTGCTGGGCAAACCTTCCAAATAAATTTTAGAAAGTTTGACAGAATTCTTAAAACGAACTTCCAATCTGACTAATATTCGAAAATCTTCAGAAACGTCATGCTAGTTATTTGGAAACTGAGGTTAACTATCTGATTTACTGATGTTAACGTTTGTATTCATGACAGTGAGAGAGAGAGAGAGTTTAGTGCATATTTGTTGGAGAACCAGACATCTCTCAAGAAAACTCTGAAAGATAAAGTTTCTAAAACGATCTGTAGAAAACGTGTGACGTTTATGAGCACAATAGAACAGAAAGTAAATAAATAAATCTACGTATTCTAACTGAATATTATTTGTAACATTTTTTTCAAATGAGATAGAGTTATCATATGAATTATGTAAAGAACTAAATAAGTCCAAGTATTTCAATCATTAGTGTTGACATTTGTGACCCCAAGTTTAAGTTTGTTTGATAAGTATAAACGACTTTGTGATATACATTTTTATAAATCTTTCAAATGAGCACACACATTGTTATCATTGTTTGAATCTGTCTCAATTAATTAGGCTCTCTGAGTTCAAGTCAGAATTACTGTTTATTTTTCAGTTTCAGAAGGCTATAAATACGCCAGCGATTGTGCATTATCATGATTTGAAGGGAAATGAAATTTCAAATATTGTTCATATTGAGCATGGTTCTTGCTGTGTATTCTACAAGAAGTAAGTCATTTTGATTTTGTGAAGAGTTGTATTTTCAAAACATTTTACCAACATAATACCTTGATGCAATCAGATTGCTTTCAGTATAGGAAGTGGATAAGTCTTTCACCTCATAGCCTGTTCATTGGATAGCATGAAATTATCAATTATCATTGTTATTCCAGAGATAGAAATGTATATTCTCGAACGAAATCTCTTATCCTTATTGTATAAGGACCATTATATCACTCCTTATCTCCCTTCCTTTCTAACTATATGCTTGTATTAAAAGGACGTCTGTGATACAGAATGACTTATCTATTCGAGACTTTCAAATTTCTTCTACCTTGATGAAATCAAATATTTTGAAGATACTTTCTGTTAGGCATCTGATGCAAGTGGTAAACAAAATAGGTATAGAAACCAGTCAGTTATTTGTTGTTCTAGACATGCCTACTAATATATGAATAGATCCAAATTCATGGTTCCAACATACAAACAATGTAATTTCTATGTCGTCTACCTTTGCTACTCACTTAAGAATTCTTGATAATTTGCAATTTCCCACTATCAGTTGATTATTTGATGTTCCAATCTGAGTTTTACTTTTTCAGCACGACGAACTAGATTAGTGAGTACATTTTCATGCTTATGTAAAATCCTTAGTTAAATCATACTTGAAGTCCATTATGATGAATATAAGTGAAGACGTGCAGGTCTCGAAGTAGGTGTACTACACCAAGACCGTTATGTTGGAATGGATACATTCAAATGTTCCCAATCAGTTTATTTGCGTCGAGGTTAAACATTAAAACACAAGGTCAACTACATCATATATTCTTTTAAGTATTTTCATTTCTCACTGTACACGAATAGATATCATTTATAGCTTTTGTCAATTAATCCATACAATAATTAACTGACATTTTCAACATATTGTCTAGTTATTCATGACTAGCAGTTTTCGTTATTGGAAAACGGTTAATAATGTTTTAATGACATTTGATGTCGAAGAAACACATCTGAAAGCATACTGCCTAATGCTGTTCTAAAATCCGCATGTGCAAACATCAACCTTATAAATTTCCTCAATATAAACAACAGAGTTAAATTGAAATCATATCAGAATGGAGCATTTCATTCCTTTTCAGTGGTACTTCTATCGTTATGTACTTTTTCTTTCCATACAACAGCCAAACAATGAAGCTTTAATCCCTGTTCGTACTAGTGGGAATTGTCAATTTTGTTTCTGTGTAAGTCGTTTAAAAATTTCAATGAAAAATATTTCAAGCAAAACAGACTACAATATTTCAAACAGACATTGTGATTGAAATATTCTATAAACGATAGCTAATAGTATTAAAATTTATCAGGAACATTCGATGAAATGATCCAGGCAATGAGTTTGGTCGTTTATCAAGTTCTTCGATGAACACAAGAAATAACCAATAAATAGCATTACTAAGTGGAACAAGAAACGTTCAACTTATTTACTTCAAGTTAAACCTACAAGAGTGAATATTTAATTCACGAAAACAATGAAAATATTCCTGATGATCATTTCAACAGATGTAGAACACGTGCAGTATTATCCAAAATTATTTGTATCATTTGAGGCAATTCAGTCTACTATTCCATGACATTTAATTATTCCTGTTTTCAGCACCAGAATCGTGTTCATGAGGTAAACTATAGACATATTCAATTTTGTTATGCAAATCACTTCATTGTTGTTTAATTCAAGTTATAATGAGAAGTTCAGCTACTTGATAAATAAAAGATGAACTCGTATTCAATGTAATCTGTTATATCGACAGATTATTTCTGTGAATAAATGATAAGTCAGTAAGTGGTAGGTTTACGGAAATGATTTATGTGAAACAGAACAATGTTTTCCGATCGGTAGTCACTCACTCATATCGAAAGTTACTTTATTTTCTGAAAGTTTTCTAAGAATTCTTGAGTGATTTTATGCATTAAAGTGTGTAGGAAAATGATAGTTTGTTTAATATGAACTTCTCCTATTATTTACTTCCGTTGATAATTGCTGTATTCCCCTACAATCTTGAGACATCACTTACATTTCCTATTGTTTTCCATTCTCAACAGATAACAAGTGACTATACTGGAAGAAGTGAAGGCGATGAAATTTGTCCCTATTGCTTTTGTGTAAGTAAAGCACATGGTTCTCCTTAAAACGGAACTTGGGTAATGAGGGAGATAGAGAGCGAGGATGAATATTTGAGTAATTGATTTAATTCATTTGCACCTCATTGCTTGTTCCACTTTTCCTTGGTATGAATGGTAGAACGTTTTAAGTCGATATTTTCAGTTCACTCACTTGCTTTTTATTTTGATCTGTTTATATAGTTTCAACTGTTATATTCATAATATGAGTATACTAATCACGTGACCAAGTGGTCTTCGTGATCCAATATGATGTGGTACATTAGGATGTTGAATTTCAACCATTTTTAATTTCACAATAGCCAATTCAATATTATGATGAGAAGACGAAATATGATTCAGTAGTAAACCAATGTTTGTCTACTGAGAACAGACTTTCTCTCTGAATGATATGACGTAATTGATTCTTGATTTCACTAGATATGAAACTGACATTTTGATCCATTCCTTATACTGAGAGTTATTAATTGATTCTATGTTTGTATTATCACATTCTTTTGATCATTTACATTTTTCCCTTGTTCAGTTATCTACATCTCCAACGAATTAACACGATGCGTACAGAAAAACTTGAAGACAAATGAAGTCGCATTTTGTACCTCATTAACATGGTTTAAAAATAAATTTGATTTTAGTATAGCAAGTCATTTGTTTTAATTTGATTATTCTGGAGAGATTTTAACCATAAGAGAACTTGAACACACGGTCAGGAAACAAACAAAATTATGTTTTAGATACGTATGTTTCATTAGTCCATCCATGTGTTCAAGAATGTTTCTACAGTTGATATGTATTCCTAATACTTCTGATCGGTTGATGGCTTCGTAAATGTGACTTTCAATTAAAACGCACAGATGTTTGACTTCTACCCAACAATGAACAATAGTGTGTTCAAGAATGTTTCTACAGTTGATATGTATTCCTAATACTCCTGATCGCACACACACATTATCCACAACTTAATAAAAACGGAACGAGCAAGAACAAAGATCCTAGCAGAATAGCATGAATTCACTTTATTTCGTTGCTTCTCTTCAGCTGCTTACATCCCATGATATTTAAAACATCATTTCGAAATGGGTTCAAACTACTTGCTTGAAAGAGTTTAGTTGGAAGTTATGTTGAAGACAAATGAGTATAGTACAGCAAGGGTGTGAATAAAATTAGTGGATTGAATATTGCAAATGTATTCCTAATGTGAGAGAAAATTCTACAACGTTGATTGTGACAACTGTTCAAACGGCTAGAAACAAGTGAATGCTTCATGAGTAAACGCTGATGAGAATAAAATGAGTAAAGCTTAGTTAATAAAATAAGATTACTTATGCGGAAGATAGTCGAAATAAAAATTCGATGATGTAATAAATACAAGAAAGAGTTTTCCAAGAAAGTGTTTTGAGATGCAACGAAGAAATATTTGTCAGTTAAACGAGGAAAGATTGTTAACTATCTGAATATGGACACATAAACGTCTTGAATTGAAACCTTGACACTCGCTCAAAATTCATATCGTATCTAACTAAAATATGAAAAACTGCTATATTTGGAGAAACTACGACTTAATTACTTATTTTTACCTCTTACCCCTTGTGGAGGAGCATAGGCCGACCACCAGCATTCTCCATCCAACCCTGTCCTGTTCTATTCCTTTCCAGTACTTTCCAGTTAACGTTCATCATTTCCATATTTCCTTCGCATTCTCGATGCAATGTGTTCCTTAGCCTTCCTCTTTTCCGCTTAACTTCCGGATTCCAAGTTATGGCTTGCCTCGTGATGCAGTTTGGTGATTTTCTCAATGTATGTCCGATCCACTTCCAACATGTTTTCCTAATTTCCTCTTCAGCTGCAAGCTGGTCTGTCCTCTCCCATAAAACGCTGTTGCTGATGGTATCCGGCCAGTGAATTTTAAGTATCTTGAGTATACAACTGTTTAAAAACACGTGTGCCTTTCTGATGATGGTTGCAGAGGTTCTCCACAGTTCAGCTCCGTACAGTAGGACTGTCTTCATGTTCGCACTGAAGATTCTCACTTTGATATTCGTTGGCAGTTGTTTTGAGTTCGATATGTCCTTCAATTGTAGGACTGGGGCCCTAGCTTTGCCAATCCTCGCCTTTACATCTACATCAGATCATCCTTGTTCACCATTGATGCTTCCCAGGTACGTGAATGTTTCCAGAGTTTCGCCATCAAGTGTGATCGGCTTGGCGTTATCCGTGTTGTCATTGAGAATCTTGCTTTCTCCTTCACGTATGTTGAGGCCTATTGATGCAGACCCTACTGCTACATTAGTTGTCTTCGTCTTTATTTGTTCGTGTGTATGGGATAGGAGGGCTAGGTCATCTGTGAAGTCCAAATCGTCTACCTGATTCTGAGATGTCTATTGTATTCCGTGCTTCCCCTCAGATGTCGAGGCCTTCATAATCTAGTCACTGACCATAAGAAAGAAGAAGGAACACAGTAGACAGCCTTGTCCGACTCTGGAACTTAGTTGCACTGAATCTATCGGATGTCCTCCATGCACGACTTCACACTGTATTCCGTCCTATGAGTTCAGGATAATTTTGACATTCTTCTCCGAAACCCCATAGTGTCAGAGAAGTTTCCATAATATTCTCCCGTTCACACTGTCCAACGCCTCATTATCGATGAAGTTGATGTATAGTGACGAGTCCCACTCGATTGTTCGACAATGATGCGTGTTGTCGTCATTTGGCCTGTGCACGACCTATCCTTACGGGATTCAGCCTGTTGATCTACAAGTTGGTCTTCTACTACGTCCTTCATGTGGTTCAGCAACACTCTATTGAAAACGTTTGCCGGTACTGACAATAGTGTGATTCCTCTGTATTTCTCACATCTGCTCAGATCTCCTTTCTGTCATATCTTGATGAGATATCATACTTTCCAGTCTTTCAGTGGCACTGGGTTCCCCTTCCAAATCTTCTTGAATAGAAGGTGAAGCATGTTTGCAGTTACTCCAATGTCTGAATTCAGTGCTTCAGCTGGTATATTATCAGGTGTGATGCTTTCCATCACTTGATTTTTCTAATGGCCATCCTGATTTCTTCGATCGTTGTTGAAGTGACATCTATAGGAAGGTGTGTGTGTGCTGCTCCGATGTCCGGTAGATTCAATAGGGTTGGTCTATTCAGAAGTTCCTCGAAGTATCCTACCAATCTGTTCGTCTGTTCTTGAATTTCAATCATTGTCTTTCCCTCTTTGTCCTTGACTGATCTCTCTGGTTTACTATATCTCCCTGATATTTTTTTTCGTTTGTCCAGTTGTCCAGTGTTTCTTTAGCCTCAGTCTCATTTTGACCACAACCAGATGGTTATCTGAAGCTATGTCACCTCCTCTCCTGGTTCCCACTTCTTCCATTGTTCTTCGGAATTTTTTATCGATACAAATGTGATCTATGTGGTTCTCTGTGGTGTGGTCCTGTGAGATCTATGTAGCTTTGTGTACGCACTTGTGTGGAAATATTGTGCCGCCTATTACCAATTGGTTGAATGTACATATATTTGTAAATCTCTCATTATTTTCATTTCTCTCTTCCAGTCCATGTCGTCCCATTATATTGTAGTGGATGTCGAGTCGAGGACGGACTATGATCACCACTACAATTCGATTACGCGCCCGAAAACGACTTGGTTCCTTTGATAGCTCGTAAATCAGAAGGTTTTATTAATCCAGATCAAGTGTATTTATTGGCGATCTCGTGGTATCGAAATAATACCGAGACGTGCCAAAGAGTACAGGCAAAATGAGCAGTGCGTGAGCAAGTTCGAACCAAACCAGGCGGAGAGCGAAACAAGAAGGGAAACTGATACAGTTAAACAAATACAGTAAAACAATCTCTGGTACAATTGGTTACAATAATAATAATTGTTTCTGTTAATCCAAAAGTGTTCTTATCGAGACTGGCCGGTCACTACAATATCTTAATATCCTATGTTGTCCATTCGGAACTTAGCGCTTGGGTCTCCCATCAGGGATGTGAGATCCTTTCCTGAACACTTTCCTATGATTGACCGCAGTCACTCATAGAACTGATCTTTATTATCGTCATTGATATAATTGGTTGGTGAATAAAATTGGATAGCATTCATTATGATGCCCTACTTCTTTGTTTTGAGTGATGTTTTGATTTTCGTGCATCCGTGAGATTTTGTCTTTGTTACCAGAATACGGCAGCATCTCTCTCGTACCCAGCGTTTGTTGTTCAGCTTGGGTCTAATGCGTTTCGTTGATTTCAAGTACTATCAATTTGTATCTTCTCACTTCCATTATTATTTGACTGTTCTTCCTGGTCTCCCACGATGTTCGGACGTTTCATGTATCTATAAAAAGTGTTGCTATTTTTGTTAGAAGGGGCATGGCCCCGTTACTTCCGAAGAATGTCGACATTCATCATGCGGTGTCGTAATTCTTCCTTGAACTCCCTAGCCAGAGTTTGAATGGTTCGAATTATTTTTTCTGGTTAGCTATAGTTTAGCGAGTTAGTTTTCTAGAGGATGGGGTTGCCGACCGTTTTTATATTCAGTAATTTTCGTGACGACATAGATAATGTGTTATATACTAGGAAAGAAGTAAGTACGGAAAACTCACGGGACCTATTATTGGACTATTATTCTATGTATATTCCTATTTTATAACTATTCAGTAACTAGATTATCTATATCTATATTCATCTCATTACCAGCTTCATTTTGACCTATTGATTATTATTATTATTTGATTTACTGTTCCTAAGTTCTGCCCAGTTTATTGATTATTGTCACCCACGATCCCAGCCACATTTGGCTTGATTTTGTACAAATATTATTTTCTATTTTATGGTGTGATGTGGTCTGCCTGTCTGGTATATAAACAAAGTATGCTTGAAATAAACGATTCATATTGCTAAGGCTGCTATTGGTGTTCTGGACTCAAGTGGACGGGCTAGGTGGATTTAGGACCAATAAGGACGCTAGATTACTCATGCTAATCGAACGTCATTGTCACAGTG